TCTGGGAGCTGCACAAAACGGACTAAGACAGGTGGTGAGTGTCATCAAGGCAGAGCCTCACCCCACAGCCCCTGCATCCGTGTCCTCTGGAACCTGCCATCTCAGCACAGTCAACAGGGCATCCCAAAGCCACTGACATTTGAGAGAATATTGGCTGCTGGTGACGGACTGGACAGCGCCTTCCTTTCTTCCTCCAAGCTCCTCTGTGAAGCCGTTACCCCCAGTGTCAGTGCCGCTGGAGCTGGGACTTTAGAAGATCATGCAAGTTAAACAGGTCATCGCAACCACTGCTGTGGGGTAGCAGGTAAAGCCGCTGCCTGCAGTGCCAGCATCCCACATGGGCGCTGGTTCGAGTCCCGGCTGCTCCACTTCCGATCCCGCTCTCTGCTATGGCCTGGGAAAGCAGTAGAAGATGGCCCAAGTCCTTGGGCTCCTGCACCCACGTTGGGAGACCCGGAGGAAGCTCCTGGCTCCTGGCTTCGGATTGGCGCAGCTCTGGCTGTTGCAGCCAACTGGGGAGTGAACTAGCTGTTGGAAACCTCTGAAACTGTGGGAAATAAAGAGCTGTCTGAGATGCCCAGCATGTGGTTCTTTGTTTCTGCAGCTGGCAAAGCCAGCCTCAGGGATACAGAAAACTGACCAGTTAGTTGTTGGTGGCAGAGAGGAGGCCCTTGTGCTAGGCTCGAGACTCAGGGATCCAGGTCTCAGGGTCATCCCCCAGTGGCTCACTGCAGAATTGAGCCTGGGGGCAGAATGAGGCTGCAGCCCTTTGGAGACTCCCAGCCTGCATGCCAGGAGGCCTGGATTTTGTCTGGGCTCTGCTGCTTTGCTTCCAGATAAGACCCTTCCTGTGTCTCCATGTGTAGAATAAAGGAATGGAACTCAGTTTGATTTTTCAACTTCCGTGCAGCAAAACTCTGTTTGAAGCAAGCCTTCTGCAGCTTCCCCTGGGTGGGGAACACCAGAAGCTTGCTGGGCAGGAGAGGGCGCAGGGCGTCTTGCTCTGCACAGTGGCCCCGGGGTGAGGCACGCGGCACACCTGATGGCCAGGGGATCACACACTCACAGGCACCCTAAATCCACCCTGGCCGGACGCTGTTGGCCAGGGGGTTTCCAAAAGTTCATAGGAGGGAGCGTGTTCTGTGCACTGTCTTTCAGAACCTGTACCAGTGTTGGCTGCTTCATTTCTGATCCAACTCCTTGCCAACGCACCTGGGAAAGCAGTGGAAGGTGGCATTCCCCTGCACCCATGTGGGAGACTCGGAGGAAGCTCCTGGCTCCTGGCTTCTGTCTTCAGCCTGGCCAGCCCTGGCTGTTGTGGCCATTTGGGGAGTGGAGCAGTGGATCTCTCTCTCTCTCTCTTTCTGTCTCTCCCTCACTCCCTCTCTCCCTCTCTCTCCTTTCTCTGTGATTCTGAGTTTCAAATAAATATAAGTTTTTTTTTTAAATGTTCATGGGAAAATGGAATTCAAGGAGAAGTTTAGGGGCAGGCATTTGGCTGTCGCTAAGATGCCACTTGGAACACCCCAATGCCATGTCTGAGTACCTGGGTTCGAGTTCTGGCTGTACTCAGCAGTCTGGCTTCCTGCTCATGTGCACCCTGGGAGACAGCAGGTGATGGATCAAGAACTTGTGTCCCTGCCACCCACGTGAGGACCTGGACTGAGATCTGTGCTCCACGCTTAGGCCTGGCCCAGCCTCAGCTGTTGCGGGTATTTAGGGGGCGTGAACAAACAGATGGGAGATCTCTTTTCTCTGTCTTTGTCTTTCAAACAAATGTGAATAAATAAGTAAAAATGAAAAAAAAGTTTATTTTTTGTACCAAGATTTTTTAAAAAGATTTATTTATTTATTTGAAAGGCAGAGTTAACAGAGAGGGGGAGAGACAGAGAGAGATCGATCTTCCATCCACTGGTTCACTCCCCAAATGGCCAAAAGCTTCTTCCAGGTCTCCCACATGGGTGCAGGAGCCTAAGTATTTGGGCCAATCTTCCATTGCTTTCCCAGGTGCATTAGCAGGGAGCTGGATCAGAAGTGGAACAGCTGGGACTCAAACTGGAACCCATATGGGATGTGGCATTGCAGGCAGTGGTGTAACCTGCTGTGGCACAGCACTGGCCCATACCAAAATGGTTTTGAATTCATATATAATTTTTTCCATAATCTGCATTTTCCATGAACTTTTTGAAGACTTTCTTTTAAGGTTTATGTTGCTTTTAAAAGATTAGTTTGAGAGAGGGAGAGACAGAGACAGAGATTTTCCATTTCAGGTTCACTCTCTAAGTGGCTTAAATGGCCAGGGCTGGGCCAGGCTGAAGTCAGGAGCCGGGGACTCCATCCAGGTCTCCCATGTGTGTGGCACGGGTCCGAGCTCTTGGGCCATCTTCTACTGTTTTCATGGGTGCATTGGCAAGGTGCTGGATCAGATGTAGAGCAGCTGGGATTCAGATAAGCACTAGATTTGGGATTCTGGTGTTGCAAGCAGTGGCTTAACCAGCTGCACCACAACAGTAGCCCCTATAAACTAAACTTTATCCTGGCAATATGTGGATGGGAAAACAGCCTATGTCGAGTTTGGTGCTCTCTCCTGTCTCAGGCTTCCACTGGGGGTCCTGGAACACATCACTGTGGATAGGGGAGGTTGACTGTATGCTTTTACTCTTAAAAAAAAAAAAAAGATTTATTTATTTGAAAGTCAGCGTTAGAGAGAGAGAGACAGATCCTCCATCCGCTGGTTCACTCCCCAGATGGTTGCAACAGCCAAGGCCAGGCCAGGCTGAAGCCAGAAGCCAAGACCCAGGAGGCAGAAGCTCCACTTGGGTCTCCCATGTGGGTGCAGGGGCCCAGGTACCTGGGCCATCTTCTGCTGCTCTCCCCATGTCATTAGCAGGGAGCTGGATTGGAAGTGGAGCAGCCAGGACTCGAACTGGTGCCTATATGGGATGCCAGTGTCACAGGCTGCGGTTTAATCCACTGCACCGCAACACTGGCCTCTCTTTTCCTTTCTTTACTGCAGTCTTTTCTTGATTAGCCTTCCTAGAGAGCCAGCTGTATTTGCAACCATTTTATGCATAGACTTAGCAGTTCCCTGTGGGGGAGTGGACTGAACTTCCACATGTGTGGTCTGTTAATGATGTCCGTGTGGCTGAGCACCAGCAGCTCTCTACTCTAAAAAAAAAAAAAAAAGTAAAAAGCGGGGGAGGGGCTGGCACTGTGGCCTAGCAGGCAAAGCCAACACCTGTGACAATGCCCATGCCAGCATCCCATATGAGCACCGGTTGGAGTCCTGGCTGATCCTCTTCTGATCCAGCTCTCTGTTAACGAACCTGGGAAAGCAACGGGAAGATGGCCCAAGTGCCCTTCCACCTACGTGTGTGAAAGACCCAGAGGAAGCTCCTGGCTTCAGCCTGGCCCAGGGGAGAAGTTACTGGGTGAACAAACAGAGAAAGATCTCTCTCTGTAACTCCGCCTTACAAACACATACACAATTTTTTTTAAAGAGGCTTTTAAAGAAAGCAGGCTAGGAGGCCATTCTTCCCGCGGGGCCTGCCAGCCCAGCCGTGGAGGCCACGCCCCTGCAGTCCCTGCCCCACGCCCAGGGACCTCCGGCTTCCCAGATTCCACACATTCCCCACTAGTCTGGTGACAAGAGTTATCCAGCTTGTCTTTGTGTTCCTGTTTTATTCTTCTTCGCGGTGTTAAGTTCCTCAGAGGTACATTTAATCATTTAAAAATAATTTAAAGGAGATTGATTTGATAGGCAAAGTCACACTCACACACACACGCAGAATCGATCTTCCATCCACTGGTTTATTCCCCAAATGCCTGCTACAGCAGGGGCTGAGCCAGGCTGAAGCCAGGAGCCCAGATTTTCATCCAGGTCTCCTATGTAGTGACAGAGGCTCAAGTACTCTAGCTTCCCAGAACATAAGCAGGAAGCTGGGAATCATTGGAGCCAAGACCCCTCCAGCACATGGACATGGGAGGTGGGCATCCTAGGCGGGTGCCTTAACACGCTGCAACACTCCTCGAATCCTTTGCAGTTACAGCTCCTTATAAACAGGAGTTGCTGCGCCCGCATGGATCAGATTCTATACAATGATACCACATAGTCTTCTTGGCTGCATTTACACCACAGTTACTCAAAGCAGAGCTGGAAAGGTATAAACTCCCCATCCAAAACAAACTGCTGGGACAGGCTTTTAAGTTGCTGCCTGGGACTCCAGCATCCCCTGAGTGCTGGCTGCTCCACTTCCCATCCAGCTCCCTGTGCCATGTGCCTGGGAAAGTAGCAGCAGATGGCCCAAGTGCTTGGGCCCCTGCCACCCCTGTGGAAAATCAGAATGGAGTTCCAGGCTCCTGGTTTCAACACTTTATTGATATCTAGTTTTTAAGATTTTTTAAATTAATTAATTAATCAATCAACCTTCCAGCGCAGGCAACCGAAAGGCCACCTTGCAACAACGTGCTGGGTTTTCAGCGGGAGTTGGTCAGCTGCGGGAGTGGAAGCCGGGCTCCCGCACTCGAGCGGTTGCGGTGCCCAAACACTGTCTTCGTGGACTGCCTCCTGGGTGCAGTCAGGGGCTGGGTTCTGCACCCGTGTTTGCACACCCGGCTCTCCCTTCGCCTTCGTTCCCCACACATGTGCGCGCTGGCTTAGCCTGAGCTCTGGGCAGTAGGACAGGGCCGTATGCGGGGGCTGGGGGGCGGTGCCGGGTCCCTTCCTCCCTGCTCCGAACGGTGGGGAAAAACAAACGAGCAGCCTCCCTAAGCCACGCAGCCCTAGTGATCAATACTGAGGTCATTTTACACCCTCCAAGGGGAACACTGTACTGCTCCCCCCCACCCCAAGAACGTTGAACTACAGGGGGCCCAATTTGCAGTCCCCAAGGGGACACCTCCTCAAATCAGAAACCTTCGTTTGCCTTTCTCAGCAGTTTGCTTCCGAACGCAGTGGACTTTTCTGGCCTTTTTTTTTTTTTTTTTTTTTTTTGGCCGCGGCTGGCAGTGGGGAGGACCCAGGACTTTGCGGTTTCACAGGACGCTCAAGCGGTGCCTCCTCCAGCGGCCTCTCCTCAGATTCTTTCCCTCCAGCCCGCTGGGAGGAGGCAGCCTTTCATCAGAGCCCAGGCGGCATGAGTCCCACCCGCTAGAGCCGAGGGACGCGCCAGCCCCGGGGGCAGCCCCGCGCCCAGCCAGCTCGCTCACGCACGCCGCGGCCATGGCCCTGCGGACGCCGATCCTCAGAGCGCGCCTGCGGCCGGCGCCCGGGCGGGCAGGGCTCGCGCGGGCCCAGGACAAAGGGTCCGGGCTGCCCGGGGCGCCGCGCGCCGGGGGCCGGGCCGAGGGGCCCCGCAGCCTGGCCGCCATGCCCGGGCCGCGCACGCTAGCCAACCTGGTGGAGTTCTTCTGCCGGGACGGCTTCGGTCGCATCCACGAGATCCAGGTAGCGCCGGGGCGTGGGGGTGGGGGGAGCGGGAGCGGGCCGTCGGGGGCAGGGAACCCCGGGGAGGGGAGACCACGGACGCGGCGGCGGGGACGGGATCCCGCGGGGAGTGAGCGCGGTCTCCACGTGGCGTTCGTTTGCAGCCCTTTCTGTTTGCGGTCTGCGATTGCAAAGGAAGGGGGCGCGGGCGGGGGTGCTCCCGTGGTTCCGTAAGCTGTGGCGGTGGGGCCGGCGCGGGAAGGAGTCCCGGGGCTGGAGGCAGGCCCTGGGGCAGAGCCCAGGCAGTGCCCCGCCGCTTCCTGGCTGGCTCACGGTGATCCCGAGCGTGGTCCTCTGCGTGGTCCGCTGCAGGGTGGCCGTCAATCTCTCTTTGCTTTCTGAGACCCTGGCTTTTTCCGGGAAGATCCTCCTCCTTTTGCGCCCACTCGCTCTGCTTTGCCCAAAGCTTACTGGTCCTTGAAGATGGGTATCAGTGGAAGCCCCTTCCTCCCTTCCATCAGCCTTGTCAATGTGCCTGTTAGTGCCCGGGGCCTCAGCTCAACCTGGAGAAGCAGACCCCCGATGAACAGAAAACAGCCAGGAGTGATTTCCAGTCCTCTGAAATCTCAGCTGGTCCTTCCTCCCCAGCCCGCAGCCCCCACCCCCCTCCCCCCAGCCCTCTTTTCTAACCTAAGGTATCACAGGGATCACTTTCAAATAAGGGGAGCAATGTTTTACTGTATACTTATGGATGAGCTCCACACACTCTGATATCTAAAAGCTAAATGTTCTGTGTCTTCTCCCTCCACGGTCCAACCAGGGTTTATTCTGTGGACACAGGTCCCTTTGGGAAACTGGCCGCTGTCCCTTCCCCCAAGCCCGGTGTCTTCTTTCTGTCTGACCTGCCTTTCACCATCACCCTGAACCAACCCTTCCTGCCTACTGCTCAGACAGGTCTTCAGCCACGCCTATGACCTTGGGCCTGCTGCTGGCTCACGGGGTGCTTCCCCACAACACTGGGCTCACTCACCCTGTCCTTTACCCTCCGGATCGCACTGGGAAGACTGTCAGCTCCCTACAAGCCCTGTGAGGACCCTTGGCAACGCTTTGTGGTCTCCTGGTGTTAGCTGGACTTCTTGGGTACAACGACGCCCTCCAGTGGGCATAGTTCTGGTAAAACTCAGTCTCTCCCTGTGCTCTCCAGGTTACTGCAAGGCACGACCAAGGGGAAGGGCATGACAAATGGAGCTTCCCTAATCCCAAAACCCAAAATCCAAAAATTGGAGAGATTTGGGGGCACCAGCATGATGCCTGCCACAAGTGGAAAATTCCACACCTGACCTCATATTACAGGTCCCAGTCAAAACACAGGCTCAGTGAACATATTGCACAAATTTACCTGCAGGCTATTGTGTAAGGCATAGATGAGACGTAAGTGAATCTCATGTTACATTTGAGTCTCTTCCTCAAGATACCTCATTATGTAAAATGCAAATAGTTTAAAAAAAAATTCCCAAATGTGAAAGCCTTCTGGTGCCAAGCATTTTAGATTAGGGACACTCAGTCTGTATTCTCTCACCTGGCACATCAGGTTTACCTGCACTTATCCTATAATCATGGAATGTTAACCCAACAAGGGATTTTAGCTCCGACTTTTGCATTCAGCTCTCATTTTACACACGGTAAAGCCCTAAAATGTTGGCCAAGTGGCTTGCTCATGGTCTTGGTGGCAGAGTATGCATTATCTGGCTTCCCAGATGCTGTGTCAGTGAGATAGAGCTGCAGGGATGCTTGTGGTTGTTCCTCTGCAGCCATGTGTGGAGTCTGGGCTGGTCCATCACTCTGTGGACCTGTTTCCTTGTCTGTGTGTGAGACAGCTGTTCTCTATCTATCTCTTGGGTTATGCTGGGGTCACAAAGGATTAGGGCTAGGAAGGTATAATAATAAATAATAACAGTAGATATTTCTAGAACTATTTGCATGTTCCAGGCACAGCTGTGAGTCCTGCATGTGAGATAAGTTCTGTTTTTCCGCATTGTGAGCCAGTACTCGAACTCCATTAATTGTGTGCAATTCATGTCTAAGCAGACTTTGAGAACTATGCCTGACTGTACTGCGCCATGGTCTACCACTCAAAAGTGCTGTAAGCTCTGTATCATGTCTACCACCAGCTCCTTGTGCTGGGTGAATTCATTCAGGAGCTAGACTTGTCTAGAAAGTGACCTGTTTTCCAATAGTTCCTATGACCAGGCATCCTTGTCGTGGTCTTCTTCAGAGACCTGACCTCTTTGAGGTCACTCATTTGTTAGGCCAGAGTGACCCCTGGACACTGATGCATTCCACTTGAGTCTGAGCATCTTCACCCCGGGGACATGTGAACCTCATCTAGGTCCATGGAAAGAGTGAGCAGCTTCCACCCAAGGGCAGAAGAGTGGAGAGACATCAGTTTCTCTGGCCTGCCACTTCTGAGACTGAGAGTTGGAGTGATAAGAAAGGTTGGCAGGGGCTAAAGAGAGCCTTAGCTGCTTTTCTCCCAGCCTAACCCTGTCAGTCATGCTAAGCCCTGTTGGAGTTGCTCCTTTATACCACCTTGTCTTTTTACTGGAGAATTTAGTCCATTTACGTTTATTGTGGTTTTTTTTTCTTTTTACAGTTTTATTGAGATATAATTCACCTAATGTAAAATGTACTCATTTGAAGTGTACAACCATCACCACAATCAATCAGTTTTGGGGCATTTGCATTACTTCGTATTTTTTAGTTCTCTCTCTTTGTCCCCCTCCAAGACTTTTCAGTTCCCTAACTGACTTTCTGTCTCTATAGATTGTCCTCTTGTGACTGCCTTCTTTCACTGACTGTAATGTTTTCAGGGTTCATTCATGCTGTAGCTTGTGTATGTACCTCATTTCTTTTTGTAGCTGAATAGCATTCAGTGTATGGATATGCCACACTTCGTTGGTTGATCTACATTTGAATATGTTCACCTGTGGGCTCTGTGCCTAAAGCTGCTGGGAACATCTGTGTGGAGGGTTTTTGTGTAAGATAGATGTTTTCATTGCTATTGGATATACACACATGGGAGAGTAGAATTGCTAGGTTAGAGAGTAATTCGACATTTAACTTTTTGGGGGAGATGCCAGACTCTTTTCTAGAATGTCTGCAAATGTGTTCTGGTAATTCCACATCCTTGTCAACGCCTGTTATTACGTTTTCTCCTACTTATGGTCATCCTAGTGGGTGTGAAGTTGCTGGTTCATGTGTTTGATTTGCACTTCCCTGGTGGTAATGATGTTGAGCATCTTTTCATGTGCTTATTACCCACGTGTGCATCTTCTAGAGAGAAATGTCCTGTTCTTAAATGGCTTACTTGCTTTCCTACCATTGAATCACAAGGATTGTCTTGTACATTCTAGATGCAAGCCTCTTATCAGATACGTGTTTTGCAAATATTTTCTCTCTTCAGTTTCTCAGCAGTGTCCTTTTACGCATAAAAGTTGTTGATTTTGATGGCATCCGATTAGCCATTCTTTTGTCACTGTGCTTTTGCTATGGTAGATTAAGATGCCATGTCAAACCCAAGGTTGTGAAAATTGACCCCCTGGGGCCGGTGCTGTGGCACAGCGGGTTAACACCCTGGCTTGAAGTGCGGGAATCCCATATGGGCGCCGAATCAAGTCCCGGCTGCTCCACTTCCAATCTATGGCCTGGGAAAGCAGTGGAGGATGGCCTGAGTCCTTGAGCCCTGCACCCATGTAGGAGACCCGGAAGAAGCTCCTGGCTCCTGGCTTCCAGCAGCTCCGACTGTTGTGGCCAATTGGAGTGTGAACCAGAGGATGGAAGACCTCTCTCTCTCTCTCTCTCTCTCTCTCTCTCTCCCTCTCCCTCTCCCTCTCCCTTTCCCTCTCCCTCTCCCTCTCCTCTCTCTGTGTAACTCTGACATTCAAATAAATAAATAAATCTTTAAAAAAAATAAAAGAAAATCGACCTCATACTTTCTTGGAAGAGTTTTATAGTTTCAGGTCTGACATTTAGGACTTTGACCCACTTTGATGTGGTTTTTGTGTATGGTGTGAGACAGGGATACACTTTGTTCTTCACCTGTGACTTTCCAGTTGTCTCAGCATCACTTGTTTTAAGAGATCACTCTTCCACCTTGGGTGGTCTTGGTGTTCTTGTTGAAAATCAGTTGATCCTAGATTTTTGGGTTTATTTCTGAACTTGGATGTATTCCAGTGACTACAGTGATACTGTACCATCTTGATTACTGTGGCTTTGCAGTAAGTTTTGAAACAGGAACATTTGAGTCCACCAGTTTTATTCTTTTTTAAGATTTTTTGGCTATTGGGGATCCTTTCACTTCCTTATACATTTTAGGATCAGCCTATCAATTTTTTTAAAGACTTTATTTTATTTATTTGAAAGACAGAGTTACAGAAAGAGGTAGAGACAGAGAGAGAGGTCTTCCATCTGCTGGTTCACTCCCCAGATGGCTACAACGGCTGGAGCTGCACCTATCCGAAGCCAGGAGCCAGGAGCTTTTTCTGAGTCCTTCACATGGGTGCAGGAGCCCAAAGACTTGGGCCATCTTCTACTGCTTTCCCAGGCCACAGCAGAGAGCTGGATCAGAAGAGGAGCAGCTGGGTCTCAAACCAGCGCCCATATGGGATGCTGGCACTTCAGGCCAGGGCTTTAACCTGCTGCGCCACAGTGCCAGCCCCAGCAGCCTATCAATTTAAAAAAATGATTTATTTATTTATTTGAAAGGCAGAGTTACAGAGAAAGAGAGACACAGAGAGTGATGTTCCATCTGCTGGTTCACTCCCCAAATGGCCACAACAGCCAGGGCTGGGCCAGGCCGAGGTCAGGAGCCAGGAGTTTCTTCCGGGTCTCCCATCTGGGTGGGAGGAGCCCAAGCACTTGGGTCATCCTCTACTGCTTTCCCAGGCCATTAGCAGGGAGCTGAATGGGAAGTGGAGTAGCTGGGACATGAATAGGAACCCATATGGGATGCTGGAGTCTTAGCAGGACTTAGCCTACTATGCCACAATCCGGTCCTCAGCTTATCAATTTCTATGAAGAAGCCAGCTGGAATTCTGACAGCATTGTGGTGAATCTATAGATACTTTAGGGGAGTATTTTCAGTTTAACAATATTTAGGCTGGTGCTGCGGCTCACTAGGTTAATCCTCCGCCTTGTGGCGCCGGCACACCAGGTTCTAGTCCCGGTCGGGGCTCCGGATTCTGTCCCGGTTGCCCCTCTTCCAGGCCAGCTCTCTGCTGTGGCCAGGGAATGCAGTGGAGGATGGCCCAAGTGCTTGGGCCCTGCATCCCATGGGAGACCAGGAGAAGTACCTGGCTCCTGCCATCGGATCAGCGCGGTGCACCGGCCGTGGCGGCCGTTGGAGGGTGAACCAACGGCAAAGGAAGACCTTTCTCTCTGTCTCTCTCTCACTGTCCACTCTGCCTGTCAAAAAAACAAAAAAAACAAAAAAAACAAAAAAAATATTTAATCTTCTAGCCCACAAGCATGGGATGTCTTGCCACTTATTGAGGTCTTCAGTTGCTTTCAATGATGTTTTCTTGTTTTCAGAGTATACTTTTGCACTTTTATTACATTTAAACTTAAGAATTTTATAATTTTTGATGCTATTTTAAACCAGGCTTTTTCTTAATTTCATTTTTTTGCATCGTTCCTTGCTAGAGTATAGCAATACCACAGAATTTTATGGATTGATTTTTTTTTTTTTATTCTGCAAACTCGTTGAAGTTGTTTCTCAATCTCATTGTATGTCAGGGAGTTCTTTTGGATTTGCTGTATGCAAATTCACATCCTGTGTGACTGGATAATGCTTTATTTCTTCCTTTCCCTCCCCGATGAGGTTCATCAGCTGGTCTGCGGAGGGCTTCCTCTGCAGACCGGGCTGGACGCTGCTCGTGCAGAGCTCCGGGTAGAGGGGAAGGAACCCACCCAGTTGGCTCTCCTGTGTTGGCTCTTATTTGCCTCCTTACTTCCCCTCTGCCCTTAAAACCCTTGTCTCTGGTTGCTTCCGCCAGGAAGGTATGTAAAAGCATATTGCGCCAGCGCTGCGGCTCACTAGGCTAATCCTCCGCCTAGCGGCACCGGCACACCGGGTTCTAGTCCCAGTCAGGGTGCTGGATTCTGTCCTGGTTGCCCCTCTTCCAGGCCAGCTCTCTGCTGTGGCCAGGGAGGGCAGTGGAGGATGGCCCAAGTCCTTGGGCCCTGCACCCCATGGGAGACTAGGATAAGTACCTGGCTCCTGCCATCGGATCAGCGCGGTGCGCCGGCCGCAGCGCGCTGGCCACGGCGGCCATTGGAGGGTGAACCAGTGGCAAAGGAAGACCTTTCTCTCTGTCTCTCTCTCTCTCACTGTCCACTCTGCCTGTCAAAAAAAAAAAAAAAAAAAAGCATATTGCTCCAGAGTAAGGAAATACCCCTGAAAGCCAGTGTATCTCAGGAGTCGAATCCTCCCCTGACCCCGTTCGCGTTATGTCCAGCTCCCCTTCCGCCCCCGTTCTCTGGTTCTCTGTTCCTCTGTCACATGGGAACGTTCACGTGCAAGGTGTGTCATCTCTGTGTATTTTTTTCTTTGATTTCTCCATGATATTGCAGCAGCAGCACACACGGAAATATGGAAAAATCTTCAAGTCTCACTTTGGTCCTCAGTTTGTAGTATCTGTTGCAGACCGCGACATGGTGGCTCAGGTGCTGCGGGCGGAGGGGGACGCGCCCCAGAGAGCCAACATGGAGTCCTGGCAGGAGTACCGAGACCTGCGGGGCAGAGCCACCGGGCTCATCTCAGCGTGAGTATGCGGCTGCGCTGACACCCCAGGGGCAAAAGCAGAGAAATGCCAGCAGCACGGTGCCAAGTGGCCTGCTTGTGTGATTTTCTAAAAAGCAGGAGCCTCAGGGCCAGGCTGGGCCATTTCCCGACTCGGGGACCAGGTCGGGGCGCACGCTGGCTGAGTAATGGGCAGGTGCTCTTTGAAAGGAATGCCTTGTGGCTTTAGGTGTCCTCTCGGGGACAACTGAGGGCGCTGCAGCTCCCTGAGCCCTCGTCTGTGCACAGGGCAGGGTGGGTGGTCAGCTCTCACAGCTAAGGGCTAAGGCTCTCCCCCAGCACTGTTGGCCATTAGTTGCCTTTCTATCTCACGACAGGCTGCAATTCTGAGCGTGGAACAGGCTGACTGGCACCTCTGTGTCTCCCAGGAGACCACGTGCCCTGGCCCAGTTCCCCCGGGGCCTCGGGGCTGCGTCTGTGGCTCCTTTGATTTTTGTGTCCTTCCTCAAATCAGGCAAGTGACTGGATGTCACCGGGGAGGGAGGTAATGGAAGTGGCCGCAGGCTCTGGCAACTCTGCTCCCTGCTGAGTCAGCTGTGGCCTCAGGAGCTCGGAGGTGCCTGGACACCCTCTCGCCCAAGAGGGGAGCCTGGTGGCGCTGGCGACGCTAGCCCAGGTGGGGAGGAAAGGGACAGGGGAACGGCCCGGCTTAGCAGGGGTGCCCCAGAGTGGGTACTGAGATGGGGTTCTGAGTGCAGTGGTTTACTAGGGGGAGTGAGGAGGTGGGGACAGACTGGGGGAATGGTAAGTAGGGGTGTGTGCATGAGTGAGAGCCTCTGCTGGGCGGCCGGGCATGGCCCTGCTCCGATCCTCGATGCTGGATGCTGGATGCTCGATCCTCGATCCTCGAAGGTGGCTCCAAGCTTGGGGACTAGAACCTCCTTGCATGCAGCCAGGGCCCCTGGTCACAAGCTGTGGTCACTCTTTGTAAACATGAGGGCTTAATTAGTGTACATACACAGCCCAAGCCGGGGATCTGGGGGGTGGGGGTTTGATTTCATGTCCCCCTGTGAATCCCAAACCCCATGGGTGTTCATGTCCTTTTTTCCCCCCGAATTATTTTACTTATTTGAAAGACAGTTACAGAGAGAGGTAGAGGCAGAGAGAGAGAGACAGGTCTTCCATTCCACTGTCTCACTCTGCAAATGACCGTAATGGCCAGAGTTGAGCTGTTCTGAAGCCAGGAGCCTCTTCCAGGACTCCCACGTGGGTGCAGGGGCCCAACTGTTTTCCCAGGCCACAGCAGAGAACTGGATTGGAAGAGGAGCAGCCAGGACTAGAACCGGCGTCCATATGGGATGCCGGCGCTGCAGGCTGGGGCTTTAACCCACTGTGCACAGCACTGGCCCCATTCATGTCCTTTTATGAAATGGTAGACCATTGGGATCTAACCTAGCTGCAGACCCTCACATCATGCAGATCACCTCCTGATGGCTTAGATTACCCACGCATTGTGAATGCCACACACGTAAGGAGCTGTCAAGTGGTACTGTCTAGGGAATAATGACAAGGAATAAAGGTCTTACATGACTCGTACAGATGCATTTTTATAAAATATGTTCCATCTGCCATTGGTTGAATCTTTGGATGCAGAACTCACGAATGAGGAGGGGTAACTTCTAAATCTGTATGTATACAAAGGTACTTCGGAAAACTTGTGGAGGTTGGCATTTGGCTCAGTGGTTAATACACTGAGTGGGACACTGATATTGGAGTGCTTGGGTTTGAATTCTAGCTCTGCTCTCCATTCCAACATCCTGCTAATGAACACCCTGGGAGGCAGCAGGTGATGGCTCAAGTACTTGGGTCCCTGCCACCCATGTGGGAGACTTGGATAGAGTTTTGGGCTCCTGGCTTCTGCCCTGGCTGTTGTGAGCATTTAGGAAGTGAACCAGTGGATGGAGGATATCTCTGCCTTTTAAATTATTTATTTATTTATTTGACAGATAGAGTTAGACAGTGAGAGAGAGAGACAGAGAAAAAGGTCTTCCTTCCATTGGTTCACTCCCCAAATGGCTGCTGCAGCCGGCGCGCTGTGCCGATCCGAAGCCAGGAGCCAGGTGCTTCCCCTGGTCTCCCATGCGAGTGCAGGGCCCAAGCACTTGGGCCATCCTCCACTGCCCTCCCGGGCCACAGCAGAGAGCTGGACTGGAAGAGGAGCAACTGTTACTAGAACCTGGAGCCCATATGGGATGCTGGTGCCTGAGATTAACCATTTGGGTGCAGGGGTGCAGGTACTTGGGCCATGGTGCCGGCCCTGCAAACTTTTTTTTTTTTTTTAAAGGATTTATTTCATGCAGAGTAACAGACAGAGAGAGAGGTCTTCCATCTCTTCAGTCCTCAAATGGCAAAGACAGCCAGAGGTGGGCCAGACTGAAGCCAGGAAATCGGGAACTCCATCTGGGTGGGTGGCAGGGGTCCAGGAACTCAGGCCATCCTCTGCTGCCTTCCCAGGAGCAGCCACAGCGAGCTGGATGGGAACTGGTGCTCTGATAGGGGCTGCCAGAGTTGCAGGCGGTGGCTTAGCCTGCTGGGCCACAACGCTGTTCTCTTGGTGATCAGCAGTCTCACGTGTATTTATTATAACATTATTTCAAGGGCTTCCCAAGGGCTTCCTAGTCCTTTTCCTAAAGATGATTCCTGGTGGTAGTTTTTTTTTTTTTTTCTTTCTTCCAATAAAATGTGGTCCTAGGAGGATGGCCCAAGTGCTTGGGCCCTGCACCCACATGGGAGACCAGGAGAGGCACCTGGCTCCTGGCTTCGGATCAGTGCAGTGCCGGCTGCAGTGGGCCAACCATGGCGGCCATTTGGGGGGTGAACCAATGGAAAGGAAGACCTTTCTCTCTGTCTCTCTCTCTCTCTCTGACCACTCTGCCTGCCCAACAACAACAAAAAGTGCTCCCAGGGCAACAGCTTAAACTCTTAAGGTTCCGGGAGGCAGTTAGGGTTCCTCACCCCAGCAGGGATCTTTCCCGCTTTCGTTCCATTTGGACTGCCGGATCCAGGATCCCATTCCTTCTTTCTACCTGGGGAGTTTTTCTGAGATGCGTTGCAGTTCTTCCCTGGGGCATCCTGGTAAGTCAAGTTGTTTGAGACTCGCTTTGTTTTTCCAGGGAGGGTGAACAGTGGCTCAAGATGAGAAGAGTTTTGAGACAGAGAATCCTGAAGCCGAAAGACGTGGCCGTATTTTCCGGGGAAGTCAACCAAGTGATCGCTGATTTGATTCAAAGAATCTACATCCTGCGGAGCCAGGCGGACGATGGAGAAACTGTGACTAATGTCAATGACCTTTTCTTCCGCTATTCCATGGAAGGTGAAGTGGAGTCATGCCCCAAACAGCAGTTTACTGTTTTTTTTGTTTGTTTGTTTGTTTGTTTGTTTGTTTTTTAGATTTATTTATTTGAAAGCCAGAGTTACACAGAGAAAGGAGAGACAAAGAGAGAGGTCTTCCATTCACTGGTTCACTCCCTAGTTGGTCGCAACGGCTGGAGCTGCACCAATCTGAAGCTAGGAGCCAGGAACTTTTTCCTGGGTCTCCCATGCAGGTGCAGGGGCCCTAGCACTTGGGCCATCTTCTACTGCTTTCCCAGGCCATAGCAGAGAGCTGGATCAGAAGTGGAGCAGCTGGATCTCAAACCGGTGCCCATATGGAATGCCAGCGCTTCAGGCCAGGACGTTAACCTGCTGCGCCACAGCGCTGTCCCTATTTTTTTTTTTTTTAAGATTTATTTATTTATTTAAAAGGCAGAATTACAGAGAGGAGGGGGAGGGAGAGAGGGAGAGAGAGAGAGAGATCGATGCTTGGTGCGCTGGTTCATTCCCCAAATGGCTGCAGGAGCCAATAGCTTCATCCAGGTCTCCCATTTTCCCATTTGGGTGCAGGGGTGCAGGTACTTGGGCCATCTTCTGCTGCCTTCCCAGGCACATTAGCAGGGAGCTGGATCAGAAGTGGAACAGGCAGGACACACAAGAACCACTGCCTGTAGAAGATGGCACAAGTCCTTGGGCCCCTGCACCTGCATGGGGGACCTGGAAGAAGCTCTTGGCTCCCGGCTTTGGATCAGCACAGCTCCGGCTGCTGTGGCCATCTGGGGAGTGAACTAGCAGATGGAAGACCTCTCTCTCTCTTCCTCTCTGTAACTCTGCCTTTCAGATAAGTGAATACATCTTAAGAAAAAAAAAAAAAAAAAAAAAAAAAAAAAAGGAACCACTGACCAAATGGGATGCTGGTGTCTCAGGTGGCTACACTATACCTTGTTTTTTGTTTACTTAAAAATATATTTTGGAGAACCTTCTGTCCATTTTCTCATCCTTGTTTTTCTTTAAATGAGTTTACCTTACTTAAAAAATTTTTTTAAATTTATTTTCATTTTTACTTGAAGGAGAGAGAGAGAGAGAGAGAGAGAGAGAGAGAGAGAGATTGGGATTCTACTGGTTTACTCCCCGATGCTTGCAACAATAGCCAGGGCTGGGCAAATCCAAAGCCAAGAGTTTGGAACTCAGTCTGGGTCTCCTATCTTGGTGGCAGGGATCCAAGGACCTGGGCCATTACCTGCTACTTCCCTGGGTGTGCATTAGCAGGAAGTTGGATCAGAAGTGGAAGAGCCCAGACTTGAACATGGCACACTTACAGGGGACATGGGCATCCCAAGTGGTGACTGAATCCCATTGCGTCAAATGCTTACCCTTAAAAAAAAATTATTGTTTTATTGCTGACTCATTTGTTTGAAAGTCAGAGAGACAAAGAGTGCCCCCATCCATTGGTTCACTCCTCCAGTGCCTGTAACAAGTGGGGCTGGACCAGGGCTGAAGCCAGGAACCTGGAACTCACTCCAGGTCTCCCATGTGGTGGCAGGGAACCAACTACTTAACCCATCACTGCTGCCTCCTAGGGTCTGCATTGGCAGGAAGCTGGGGTCAAGAGCTGCGGCTGAGATTTGAACTTGGGTGTTCCAATATGGAACCTGAGAGTCTTATCTCCTGGGCTAAATGCCTGCCCCAGACCTTACTTGAAATTTAACTCTTAGGTTAACTTTTAAAAGGTCTGTGTCGCTCCCCGTCTTCGTGGAGGAACGACACAGGACCCTGCGTTGTTCTTTCGTCTGCTCGGCCCTCCCCAGGTTTGCTGCTGGTTCTTCCCGGGTTGGCTACCATCCCTTCCACCTCCGTGGAAGGGCGGTTCCCCCTGCCACATTCCCCACTTCCGCGGGGGAGCGGCACACCACCGGCCGGCTCTCTCGGGGGCTGCACAGGTGTTCCTTCAGATAGATGTTCCCCTTAGATGTTCCTGGTGCATGTTGTCTCTCTCCTCCTTTATAGTCCTCTTCCACCAATCCCAACTCTGCTACCCACACGCCGAGTACGCTGCTCTCCTCCAATCAGGAGTAGGTCCTACAGTTTATTGGTTGAACTGGAGGCAGCTGTGTAGAAGCTGTTTCTCCCTTCTCAGCGCCATATTGTGGGAGAGCAGATGCATAGAATAAGTCTTAATTCCAGTAACTCAGTCCAGTCTGGGTTGCTCCCCACAGTCTGCTAGGGATGTGTTCTTAAAATAGTTACACAGTAACAGGGAAGTGAGCACCTGTGCTCTAAACACATTCATTAGCGTTGGCTCTATTCCTTTAGCTCTCTGGGCCTGGGAATCACCAGCATTTTTTTTTTTTTTAAAGAGATTTGTTTTATTTGAAAGTCAGAGTGACAGAGAGATGGAGAGAGATCTTCCATCCACTGATTCACTCCCCAAAGGGCTGCAACAGCCAGGTCTAGGCCAAGCTGAAGCAAGGAGCCAGGAGCTTCTTCTGGGTCTCCCACACAGGTGCAGGGGCCCAAGCACTTGGGCCATCCTCTGCTAGCTTTCCCAGGCATGTTAGCAGGGAGCTGGATTGGAAGTGGAGTAGCTGGGATCGAACCGGCGCCCATATGGGATGCTGGCACTGTAGGTGGAAGCTTAACCTTCTACACCACAGCGGCCGCTCCCCTAGAATCACTTTTGAGAACTGCTTTTCTAGCCAAGCGTTGCATGTTGCTATGGGAACCCGTCTTGGCAAGAGGCGCTCAAACCCTTTCCCGCCTAGGCGTGGCCACCATCCTCTTCGAGAGTCGCCTGGGCTGCCTGGAAAACGTCGTTCCCCAGACAACGGTGGAGTACATCCAGGCGCTCGAGCTCATGTTCAGCATGTTCAAGACCTCCATGTACGCGGGCGCCATCCCGCGGTGGCTCCGCCCCCTCATCCCGAAGCCCTGGCGGGAGTTCTGCAGGTCCTGGGACGGCCTCTTCAAATTCAGTAAGCCCAGAACGGGGGCGGGCCGTGGCGGGCACTGGCCTGGTGATGCCACCTGTTGCGTGCCTGACTCCCACACGCCCCGTGGGAACCGGGTTGTGCCTTTCAGATTGGTTTTTCAAATGAGCAAAAGAACATGTGGGTTGTGACTACAAGTAACACGCCCGCTTTTCCATCTTTAACTTAATTTTTTAAAAAGCTTTTATTTGTTTATTTGAGAGGTAGAGTTACAGAGAGAGAGAGGGAGAGATAGAGAGAAAGGTCTTCCACCTGCTGGTTCACTCCCCAAATGGCCACAAATGGAGCTGGGCTGATCCGGTGCCAGGAGCCAGAAGCCAGGAGCTCGGAGCTCCATCTGGGTCTCCCATGTAGGTGGCAGGGGCCTAAGTACTTGAACCATCTGCTGCTGCTTTCCCCAGGCGCATTAGCAAGGATTGGAACTGTGGATCTGAGCCAGAACAGTCGGCACTCTGATACAGAATACCGGTGTCAGAAGTGGCAGCTTAACCAGCTGCACCACAACACAAGATCCCTTCTCCTTTCTTGATTCAGTTTTCTTTTCTGGAAGATAGTGGGAAGAAAACACAGAAATCTGTGTTCTCGTGACGCCATGTTACGGCAATGATGTTTTCAGTCATTGGATTGATAAAGCAAACATTTGCTGTCATCTCGCAGAGTATTTTCAAGAAGGGAGATGCTTAGCTTGACTTTTTTTCATACACAGGCAAGTGTATGCGTGAAGGTCAAGGTTGACAAGAGACCAGCCTGGGTTTTCTTGGCTGCTTCCCACCTGCCACTAGCCCGGTTCTGGTTCCGATTCCATTCCTGGGAGGACAGGCAAAGATCATTCTCCACTCCAATTTCTTTCCCGCACAGGCCAAATCCACGTAGACAAGAAGCTGAGGAGCATCCAGTGCCAGATGGACCAAGGCGAGCGGGCGAGAGGGGGGCTTCTCACCTACCTCGTCCTCAGCCAGGCACTGACGTTGGAGGAGATCTATGCCAATGTGACCGAGATGCTGCTGGCCGGCGTCGACACGGTGAGCCATGGAGCACTCATGTCCTGTCCTCTCACCCCCCACCCCCAGAGAGGGAGGCAGGGAGTGGGGGAAGAGGAGTGAGGAGAGGGAGAGAGAGAGAGAGAGAGAGAGAGAGAAAGAGATCTTCCACCTGCTGGTTTACTCCCCCTATGGCTATCTATACAGTTGTGTCTGTGGATTTAACCAGCTGTGCGTGGAAACTGTTTTTGAGAAAGATAGCACCTGTTTAGAACATGTGTAGATTTTTCCTCTCCTCATGATCCCTTAAACAACACAGAATACCAACTACTTAGGTAGTATTTACAGTGTCTTAGGTGTTGTATGTAACCTAGAGATGACTTCATGTGTACTGGAGGGTGTCTGTATGTTCTGTGCAAATACTGTGCCACGTATGCAAATACGGTCCATTTTATAGGAGCACTGTTGGGATCGGCTGCAAAGTGATGCTGCTTGGACCCTGAGGGTGACTATACTATGTCTCCCTGGGTGAAGCACGGGATTCCGCCCTCCACACCCATATGCAAGTGCATGTCCTCGAGTGCTCCTGTAACCCTTCGCTCGCTGACAGGGGTCACCTTGCTGGGCTGTGTTATGGGCCAGCAGGGTCTGGGGAGCCAAGTTCCTTCTGAAAACACCATATGATGACATATGATGCATATGCGTTTATTCCTCTCTGAGCAGCGGCAGGCGTATGGGTGTGGGTGCAGAGCCGTTTTACATTTTGCTAAAATGGGGTGGTGGGACAGGCACACACAAGTAGGCTGGGGCTTTCTGTAAGTGCCAGAACACAAATCCATTGAGTGACGTTTGTGACAGGAGACTAGGAAACTGTGGAGTGGGAGCCACTGCTTCTGATGGTCTGCCTGCAAAGTCAGACTGTGGACTGCAGGGGGCGCTGCTGTTCCAGAGCACTTCCATGAACACCCATCTGGGCCCCCAGCTTCCCCCAAGAGTGGTCCATGGCTTTGATTTAGCAGGAGGGAAACCCAACAACTACGCTTGTCACATCCAGGATTTTCCTCGACACCAGGGCTTCCTGACTTTGAGCAAGGACAGTGCTCCTTCTTCAAAAATTATTTATTTTATTTGAAAGGCAGAGAGAGAGAGCGAGAGAGATAGAGCTTCCATCTGCTGGTTCACCTCCCAAATGGCAGCAATGGCTGGGGCTGGGCTGGGGTGAAGCCAGGAGCCAGGAACTCCATCCCGGTCCCTGCTGTGGGTGGCAGGACCCCAAGCACTTGGGGTCTTCTGCTGCCTTCCCAGGTGCATTAGCTGGGAGCTGGATTGGAAGCAGAGCAGTCGGGACACAAGCTGGTGCTCTTGTGTGGGATGCTGGTGTCACAGGTGTTGGCATAACCCACCGTGCCACAGCGCTGGCCCCTCAGACCTTCATTCTAAAGGTCTGAGATGGCTTACATTATTTTTATTGCAGTATTAAGTCACTTTTAACATGTAAAAGCAAAAAGACAATATAAACTCGTTCTTATGGCTCTTCTACAACAGAAAAACATAAAAGCAAACTAAATTATACGATCCATGGAAATTCTGATAAGCTGCGTGAACATGAAGAATGGTGTGGATTTGCTCAAACTAAGTCACCACTTGAACAGCAAAGCAATGAATGGCGGGGATAGCAAGGCATGAATGGCCTGGTCGCTGAGCTGTTTGGATACACTTGGATCGCTCGCCCCCTGGTGGTCACTTAGAGCATTGCAATGACGTGGAGTTGAGAGGGACCAGTTCCTTCTAGCATCCTAGGGTTGAGTGGGAAGACAAATTCTTACAACTTCAAATTCATCTAAAGAAAAAAAAACTTTATTGCAGATAACATATGTGCAATAAACTGGGTCCATTTGAGCTGTGAAATTTGATATGGATTGTTGATGGATGCAATCATTGAGGAAACCACAACATTCTGCTAAAACTTTTATAAATGGAATCATAGAATATGTATGCTTTTGCATCTGGCTTCCTTCGCTCAGCAAAATGAGTCTGAGACTCATCCGTGTGGTAGCATATGCAGCAACTGGTCCTTTCTTATTACTGAGTAGTATTCCGTTGCGTGAGTATCCCACACTGGTGTCCACAATTATGTGGTCTTAATAGAAATTTTCTATTCTAATAGGAACCAACCGCACCATCCCTCCCTCTCTCTTTTAAGAATTTATTTATTATTTGAAAGTGAGAATTACAGAGAGAGAGAGAGAGAGAAATGGGGGGGGGGCGAGAGATATCTTTCATCTGCTGGTTCACTCCCCCAATGACTCCAACAGCCAGGTATGGGCCGGGCTGAAGCTAAGATCCAGGAACTCTATCCTGGTCCCCCACCTAGGTAGCAGGGACCCAAGTACTTTGTCCATCTTCTGCTGCCTTCCCAGGTATGTTGGCAGGAAGTTGGATCAGAACAAAGAGTAGGTGGGATTTGGCCAGCACTCTGATATGGGATACCAGTGTCATGAGTGGTGGCTTAACCATGTTTGCCACAATGCTGGACCCCTGTTGCGATGCAAACGTTTTGAAATGCATGCATAGTTTCTTCATAATAGGTATTTCCCATGAACAAACTGAAGATCCCTCATATATTATAAGTTTCAGAAGAGTGCCCTCTATGAAAATCTTGGGACCTAGGAGGATAAAGCAGAATTTTATTTTAAAGATTTATTTATTTTATTTGAAAGAGTTACAGAGAGAGAGGAGAGGCAGAGAGAGAGAGAGAGAGAGGTCTTCCATCTGATGGTTCACTCCCCAAATGGCTGCAAAGGCCGGAGCTGCGCCAATCCGAAGCCAGGAGCCAGGAGCTTCTTCCGGATCTTCCACGCGGGTGCAGGGGCCCAAGGACTTGGGCCATCTTCCACTGCTTTCCTGGGCCATAGCAGAGAGCTGGACAGGAAGTGGAGCAGCCGGGTCTCGAACCGGCGCCCATATGGGATGCTGGCGCTTCAGACCAGGGCACTAACCCACTGTGCCACAGTGCCGGCCCCAACAGAATTATTTTCAGTTACTGGAAATGTCATTCTTCAGTCTGAGAAGTGGTATAAAAAATGATACTGCTGGGGTGCACATTTGGCATCATGCCTGAAATGCCAATTGGGATGCTCATGTCCCATATTAGAGGGCCTGGGTTTGAGTCCCGGCTCTGCTGTTGACTCCAGCTTCCTGCTAATGCGCACCATTGGAAGCAGCAGTGGATGGCTTAAGGAGTTGGTTCCCTGGATTGAGTTCTCAGCTTCTGGCTTTTGCCTGGCCCAGCCCCAGCTATTGTGGGCATTTAGGGAGTGAACTAATGATGGGAGCTTTCTGTCTGTCTCTCTTTGTTTCTCTCCCTTTCAAAAACAATTTTAGAAAATGATCCTGGTTTGCTCAGATGAGCTATTCAATCACTGTTGAGTTCACTTGAGAAGCACACAGGAACTGGGCAGACCAGTAGTCCTCTGGCCACTCTCTGACTTCTGGATTACGGCAGTGTGGGCCATTTTGGGCCTAGGGGAATGATACTGGAGGGTCACATGGGTCCATGGCTGGAAGGCAACCACAGGCATTTTGTTAGCAAAAAATGAGGTGGCCCCTGCGAAGGCTGTCACATGAAGTTCCAGGCAGAACTTCTATCATCCCCTGCATCCCGCAGGCTCCCTGGAAGAAGAGCCGAGATGCTCTTATGTGATTAAAGAGGTCCCCAAATAATATGTCTTCCCAGGGCACGCAAATCAGAGAGTTGGAGAGACGGCCCATGCATCTTTGTGTGCCTTTCTTGGCGTGAATTAAGGGGAAGCCATGGAGTGTGCCTGTGGAACGGTCTGATTTTGCACCTGCATGGCTTCACAAGGGGGCTTCACGCCCCACGCTGCTGGCTAGGGCAGTCCTTGGTGGGACCCAGCCCGGGGACCTGTGCCTGCCACTTTCTCTCGCCAGACGTCATTCACCCTGTCCTGGGCGGTGTATCTCCTGGCGAGGCACCCAGAGGTGCAGCAGACGGTGTATCGGCAGATCGTCAGGAATTTGGGAGAAAGGCACGTGCCGACGGCAGCTGATGTCCCCAAGGTCCCGCTGGTCAGAGCTCTCCTGAAGGAAACCCTGAGGTAACCAAGACTCGAGTCACCAGAATGTGTCCTATAAGCCCATCATTCCTTTACTTATTTTTTTTAAGATTTATTTTATTCATTTGAAAGGCAGAGTTACAGAGAGAGAGAGGGAGAGGCAGAGAGAGAGAGAGAGAGTGGTCTTCCATCCATTGGTTCACTCCCCAAATGGCTGCAATGGAATGGCCCCAGGCTAGGTCAAAGTCAGGAATCAGGAGCTCCATCCAGGTCTCCCAGATGGGTGGCAGGGACCTAAGCACTTGGGCCATCCTCTGCTCCCTTCGCAGGTGCATTAGCAGGGAGCTGGATTGGAAGTGGAGCAGCCCCCCAGCACCCCGATGTGGGATGTGGGCATTCCAAGTGGTGGGTGAACCTGCTACAGCGCCTGCGACACCGGTTCAAACACTGGTTCGAGTCCTGGCTGCTCTACTTCTGATCCAATATTAATACCAATGTTAACTGACAAGTGGCAATTGCGTATGTCTATTGTATTTCAGTACAAGTATGAGTATACTTTGTGGGCTGGGCAGATCACAATGGTCTAGATCCATCGTCCCAAATGCTGCTCATTTGTTTTTGGTGACATCAAAAGTCTTTTAGCTCTTTTGAAATATTCAATGTGAGGGAGTTTCAAAAAGTTTGGAAAATGGAATTAGGAGAGAAGTTTATCTTGGTACAAAAACTTTTCTTTTGAGATTTGTTTATTTGAGAGGCAGGGTTTCAGGCACAGAGAGGGAGGGAGAGACAGTTTTCTATACAGTTTTCCATACAGTGCCCACAAGGAATTCTTTCAGACCCGCTTTGATGATTCCTCTCTGGTTTCTATTGCATCCTCACTCTACAGAGCTGAAAGGGAGCCGGCCCAGGCTCCTGGTAGGAGCCAAGGTGTTCTCATTGGAGTTTTCTTAGGATCTGCCCTTCTGGACTATGCAAAAGCTCAAGTTCTCAGGGGAACTATCAGTTGACACCGTTGTCTCCTGGTCATATAAAATGCCAGACAGTGGGACCTTTCCCTCTGGAGAACACGGTCACTGGGTGTTTGGCAAACTTTTGAGCTGTGGCACCCTTTCCCCATAGTGCCAAACTGTCTTTTGGCCTGAAACATTTTTGGTTGGAACTGTACCCTCTGTTACCGTTTTTAGACTCATTCATGGAAAAGGTGATACATCCAGATTTTTAAATGTTTAAACAAAAATCTCAGACATCACCACTGCTTTCCTGTCCCCATTGTCCCCGTTCCAGGCTGTTTCCTGTGCTACCGGGGAATGGCCGGGTCACCCAAGAAGACCTGGTTATTGGCGGGTATCTGATTCCTAAAGGCGTGAGTCTGGTGGCCCCTGGCGGGGAGGGAGAGGGGGCTGGGCGTGCTGGGGTGGCTGAATTGGGGCTCATTCCTAAAGCCAAGATCCACGGGCTTCCTTTGCTTCTGCCCGAGTTCCGCGGTGAAGATGAGGCTTCCGATGCGTGTAAAGGAGAGAGCCCTGAGGCCCATAAGCCCCTCCCCCGCTCCTCTGTCAGGCCAGAGGCAGCCAGGTGTCTGCACGTAAGCTGCCTTCTCAGTGGCTGCCGTGTCCTGGGCTTTAAGTGGCCGTCCCCAGAAGGACTGCGCTGCTGGGGGCTGTGACCTCCACACGGCCTTCATGCCATCCCTTCTGTCCCCTTCTCTTTTGTCTGCCGGCCTCCTCAGACCCAGCTGGCCCTCTGCCACTATGCGACCTCCTACGAGGATGAGAACTTCCCCCGGGCCAGGGAGTTCCGGCCAGAGCGCTGGCTGCGCGAGGACAGCCTGAGCAGAGTGGACAACTTTGGGTCCATCCCCTTCGGGTACGGCGTCCGCAGCTGCATCGGGCGGAGGATCGCAGAGCTGGAGATTCACCTCGTCATGATCCAGGTAGGGCCCGGCGGCCACGTGGGGGCCGACACTTCGGCACAGAAGGGAGGATTCTGAAAACTCAGAGGCTTTGCCCCAGAGCCCCTTGCTTTGGCTAAGAGGCCACCCTGGGCGTGTGTAACGCCGGGGCCGCCTGCCCTGTATCTTTCCTCCAGGCATTGGATGGAGCCCTGCTATCTTTTCTCCTGGCCTTGGTGGGCTCTGAAGATCTGGGGTGGGGGCAGTCCTGGGGGGCAAGGGGGAGAGGCTCCAAGAGCCCAGAGCCTAGTGCTGCTGCCCACACATGGGGGATTCCAGCAAGAGGCCGATGGGAGAGTGGACCTCACAGGGTAGGGAGCTCCTGAAAAATGCAGATTCCCAGGCCCCAGCCACAGAGATGATGTTTTGATGGGTCAGTGCAGGGAGTGGGGCCTGGGCCTGCTGTCTGAGAAACCCTTGTGGTCTTAGTGGCCATGTGGGACTCAGGTTCACTGTCCACACTCCAGGGTTTTGTGTGGTCAGCCGGTGGCCACGGGCACCCCCACACTGGACCCTCCTTCTTTGTTTCTGGGGAGCAGAGGTTCTCAGGCTTTCTGGGTTGTGAAACATCTGGATGTCTTGGGTTTTGTTGGAGAAGACCTTATCTCTTCATCTCTGAATACATAATATAATTACTATATATTATATAATATGTATTATTATTATTATTTTTTTACTGTACCTGAGTTCAGGCTGCAGCAGGAACTAAATCACATGAGGAGAATTTATACAAGAAGAGATTCTACCCAATAACTTCTCCCACAGGTTTGGGAGAGCAACCATGAACCTATTTTAGCCATGGAAAATATTGGCCCAGTGCTGGGGAGCCACTGCTGTTGGCATGTGTGTTGGGAGAGCATGGGGATTGCCTGGTGATCCCAATGTCCCCATTTTACTGATGAGGAAACTGAGGCTCAGGAAGTACACATCACCTGTCACACAGTGGCAGGTGCAGGCTGGGATCGAGGGGTGTTGACTCTGTCCAGCATCTCCCCAAGTCACACACAGGCCGCCCCTGGCTCACAAAGCTGACGGGACAGCATGGAGACGTGGGGAGAGGGACTCTGGATGGCTAGGGAGGTGAGGCCTGGGTGAGGCATCAAAGCTTCAGGGCTTCACTGCCCAGGGAGGTGGCATAGAAGGAGGCGTGGGGGCAGCGTCCCCTGGCCCAGGACTGGCCCTGGTGGGAGACGCTGAGCTGGGATGAGGCTGCAGGATGAACACGCACATCTGGCTGTTGAGTGGGTGCAGCCACCAGTGCGGCTGTCCCTGAGGACAACAGAGGGTCCTGTGTGAGCTCCCAGGGGGATGGAGAGAGCGCAGGGCAGAGACACTCCTGGGCAGGCTTCCCACTGCCGCGATCTCTGCCTCCTAGGGGCGTGAGGATGCCGGAGGATGGACTATTTCCTTGTCCTCCGATCGCCTTCAGGAGGCTCCTGCTGCCAGGAGTTTTTCCGGAAGGTCTTCGCTCCCCGAAATACTGCTACACAGCTGCGGCCATGTCCTGGATGGGCAGAGGCGTTTCCTAGGGAGAACATCCTGGGCTCTGACCGCCTGAAGAGCTGGGAAGACACCCAAGAGCAGGAGGGCCTGGCTGGGGGCTCCTGTGGAGGGGTGGAGTTGGAAGAGGGCTAGGAACAGGGTGCCCAGGCTAGGAGCAGGTGATGGGGTTTGGTTTGCTGCTACTAACAGGCACATACACCTGCTGAGACTTTCTGAAGGAGCCCGCCTATCTGCCTGTGCAGGGACAGAGGGCAGCAGCGTGTCAGTATAACCAGCACGACCACAGATAAGAGGATAAACGCTGTGTGACCACCCCCAGGAGAAGTGGGGGAATCCAGCCCGTTCACGGACACCCGCAACAGAAGGGCCGTCTTCAACCAAGTGAATCACGTGCACCCCAAGGGGGCGGCACACCGCCTGCAGACTGCTGGGAAGGGAGTGTGAAATGTGGTGGTGGAGGGGGCTTTGGTTTTTATGTTTCCTAGGTAGTTTTAATTTTTCCACAAGCATGTGCTGCCCACGGAGAAAGGAAAAGCGAGCGGGTGGTGCCATGACCTTGAAAGTTGAGAGATTCATGTGTGCTCTCTGCCGCTTTGTCTCCTGGGCACAAGCCAGCACCCTGAGAAGTCAGACCGGAAGGTCAGAAGTTAGAGGTGCAGATGAAGCCAACTGGCTGCCAGAAATGACGGTGCTGCCTAGAGTCAGGCTGTGCACTTGTTTTAAACCGTGACAAAATTAGTTCAACAGACTTCCGCCTGGCCGCCTTAACCCCTGTGTGGCCCCTGACCCCTGCCTGACTCCATGCTGGCACCCCATCTCCCTGCTGGGGACCCATCGCTGGGTCCTGCTTCCCCATCTGGGAGATGAGGCTGCAGCGTGAGGGCAGAGCAGGGAGGGCCTGGGCCCCAGCTCATCCGCCACCTGCTCTATGCAGCAGGGCTGAGGGCAGAGCCCTGCCTCCCTCCAGGAGCCTCTGTGCGGAGGGCAGCCTTGAGAGCAGGTTGTCTTGGGTTCCCTACGCCCACAGCTTGCTCTGAACACCAGGCCCTGCCAGCTGGTGTGCAGATTACTGCTTTACAGTGGTGAACACTATGATGTTGTCCAAAGTCACTGTTTAGGTACTTTCCACTCATCCTGGGAGGCGGAGCTGCTTCCACAACTTATTTATTTATTTATTTATTTATTTATTAGGGAGGCAGAGAGACAGAGATAGGGGGAGAGAGAGAGAAAAAGACACACACACACACACACACACAAACAGGTTCACTCTTGAAATGCCTGTAGTGGCTAGGACTGGGCCAGGCTAAAGCCTGGAGCCAGGAACTCCATCCAGGTCTCCCACATGGGTGGCAGGGATCCAACTACTTGAGCCATCACTGCTGCCTCTCAGGGGCCAGAGCCCAGATTCTCCAAAGTGGCCAAATGCTTGCTCCTTGGTTCTACTTTTAAAAAATATATTTAATTATTTGAAAGGCAAAGTGACAGAGAGACGGGGGAGGGACACACACACACACACACACACAGAGAGAGAGAGAGAGAGAGACTTTCTCTCATCTACTGGTTCATTTCCCAAATGGCTGCAACAGCCAGGGCTGGGCCAAGATGAAGCCAGGAGCCAAGCATTCCATCTGGGTCTTGAGTGAGCCACCATCTGCTGCCCTCCAGGGTGCTCATTAGCAGGAAGCTGGATGCAAAGCAGAAGAGCCTGGACTCAGTCAGGCACCCCCAAGTGGGACGCAGCTTACCCTGCTGGGCCACAATGGCGCCCCCTAGAGTTAAGGAATTGGAGATGGCAGATACAAGCCACGACCTTGGAGCATTCTGCCTGCATCTCTCTCCCACTGCTCAGTGGCCGCTCCGGGGTTTCACTGCCTGAGCAGTGATGCAGGGGCCTGCAGGGCAGATGTGTGGGTTCCCATTGCCTTGGCTGCCGCTGCCCTGATGGGAGGTTATGAGAGCCACTGGGTGGGGTGGGGGTGGGGGCACCGAGAAAGCCCTGCTGTCCCGACGCTGAATCCTCTCTCATTCTCTTCGTAGTTGCTTCAACATTTTGAGATCAAAACATCGCCTCGGACTAAAGCTGTTCGCGCCAAAACGCACGGGCTGCTAACGCCTGGGGAGCCCATCCACGTGCGTTTTGTCAACAGAAAGTGACCCTGGACCCACAGACGGGGGTGACAGAGCACAGCCAGCTGGCCACACCCCCCGAGGTGTGCTCTCATGATCCCCACAGAGGAGCCATCACTCGCCATGCTGTCTGGCAGCCTCCTGGGTTCTCAGGACACTTGGAAGTCCTTATGCAAAGGAATCTAAGGAGATGGCCAGTTTGCTTTGGTGCACCGGAAGTTGTCTTGGGGGGAATAGCCGTTTAGAAACTGGTGGCCCAGTTTTCACGTGCTGTGCTCAGTATTTAATGGTTGCTGGTATCTTACGCATTTGTGCAAGGAAGCAGTACTTCCTGAAGATGCGTTCTCTGCTGCTGGCATCGGCAGTCTCCGACACGCGGCGATTTCCACTCGCTTCTAACTCGAACAGGGAACCTTAGGAACGCCTCTGTGATGCTGTCATTATGCGCTGGAGGCAACATTTTAATGCTAAGCACCAGATTTAGATCCCATACAAGGATCTCAGGTGAAAAGGGCCACATTCTTATTTTCCTCTCCAAACTGCTGCTTGCTTTTCTATTCACGGCTCCGAACGCAGGGGAGCGTTAGTGTTTATTTGAGATGCAATCAACAGGAAAATCTCTCCCAGTGAAGTGAACAGTCACCAGATTTTCTAATCCAGTCTCAATTCGAGGCACAGGTCGATGTGACCATGTGCGATTTTGTTGCCTCAACTGAGAGAAATGAATGAAACCAGCATCGTGGACAACAGTGTAACTTCATAACATTTTTATTTTAAGGAAGAAATAAATGTAAAAAGCAGACGTGCTGCAGATAGAGCAGTATGTGTATCTTCAGTGTGTCGCCGTGCATATCCAAACTGGAAACGGGATGCAGCTGTCAGGACTGGTGTGTGGGGGTGGGGCACAAGCAGGGCTCAGGAGCTGCCGCTGAGCCAGTTCTGTTGCCTTTCGTGCCACCTACTGGTCACTACGAGGAAATGCTGATTTGATAATGTTCTCTCCTCGCCGTCGTACCAGACAGCCCATTCCTGCTTCTGTGATTCTTTTTAGTAATCCTTATCCACTAATGACTTTGCTGCCAATATATCCCATGTATCTTTTTTTCCCCCTTTAGAAAGTTATTCGGCAAAACAGCCCTTCGATAGCATAGAAATAATATCCACGTCACATACCGTTTCTGTTAACCTACATAGCAAAGTGAAATGTGTGATGACAGAATGCTCTAATATGAGTTCTGTAAGTACATATGAAATTATGGGGGCTGGTGTAGTGGCATAGCGGGTAAAGCTGCTGCCTGCAATGCTAGCATCCCATGTAGGTGCCAGTTTGTATCCCAGTCGCTCCACTTCTAAGCCAGCTCCCTGCTAACGGCCTTGGAAAAGCAGTTAAGTTGGCCCAAGTGTTTAGGCCCCTGTAAACCATGTGGGAGAGCTGGATGAAGCTTCCAGCTCCTGGCTTTAGCCTGGCTCAGCCCTGGCCATTGTGGCCATCTGGGGAGTGAGCCAATGGACAGAATCTCTCTCTCTCTCTCTCTCTCTCTCTCTCTCTCCCTACTCCCAACTCTGACTTTCAAATAAATAAGTAAACATCTATTTTTTTTTTTTTTACATTTTTATTGTACTTGAAAGGCAGAGTTACAGAGAGGCTGAGGCAGAGAGAGAGAGGGAGAGTTCTTCCATCTGCTGGTTCACTCCCCAGATGGCTGCAATGGCTGGAGCTGTCCCTATCCGAAGCCAGGAGCCAGGAGCTTCCTCTGGGTCTCCCACATGCAGCAGGGGCCCAAGCACTTGGGCCACCTTCCAATGCTTTCCCAGGCCATAGCAGAGAGTGGGATCAGAAGTGGAGCAGCTGGGATTCGAACTGGTGCCCATATGGGATGCCAGCACCGCAGGTGGTGGCTTCACCTGCTACGCCACAGTGCCGGCTTCTAAAATCTTTTCCTTAAAGATGAAATTCTGTCTCAGTCACAGGCCAAATGTTGGATAATACATTAACTTTTATAAACTAGATGCAACCTGATTCTGTTTGAGTGAAATTAGAAAACACTGAGAATAACTAAGCAGGCTGAATGGTGTCTCCTCCCCTGTGCGTGCAATGCGACCCTGCAGGGCTGTGTGGGATCAGCAGCAGGCCAACAGTGGGGTGCAGCAGGTCGGGGGCGTGACACGCACATGGCGACATGCATGCTGCTGCCCAGTCTCAACGGAGGGACAACCAGAACTCAGGAGCCTCCTGCTGTGACGCACCAGCACAGGCCCTTCCTTCTGAAGCATCGTGGCCAAAGGAACTGAGATGGAATTGGCCGTGTCTCCAGGTCCACTCCCAGTTTACAGGGAATTCCAGGTATCGACAGGTTCAAAGTCCGTGGAGATGCCGCCAGCAAAATCCAGAACACAGCCAGCCTTGACTTAACTTTAACCGCGGTCTGACTCAGAAGGCTTTTACTGTGTGAAGATGCGACAGTGACACACCTTCAGTAACAACCATCCTGAGGACCGTGCGTGTGGATCTTCTTCCCAGGCTGGTGCCGTGCAGCTGAGGCCCACGATGCTGCGTGCCAGCGAGAAACCACCCCCTCCCCTGGTGCAGGTGCTGCTGGGCTGAGCTGTGCCACAGGCAGGCACTGCTTTTCTGTCTGGAGCCATTCTGAATTTATCATGGGTTAACTGGACATGCGCCTAACCCAAGCTGAGGATCTGTACGATGAAAGCAACGGGGTCAATAGCTCGAGTTTTTCAACACATAAATGCCAAGAGAAATATGAATGAGTTAGGGAGAACTGCTAGAGATTAGAAAGACATTTATGGGATGTATCAGCCAAGTGCAGTTCTGGGCTTAGTTTGAATCAGCATCAAATACACCATTTGTAAAAAAACATTTAAGAGATACTTTAAAAATGAAGGCAAAAAGATTAATTCTTCCAGTCTGCAGAGAGAGAGAGAGAGAGGGGAACAGAACTAGAAAAGTTTAAACAATGTGTATTCAGTATTGAGTTAATATTCAATTTTTTGATGTAATGGTTATGTTAACAGAGTAAGAGATCTTATCTATTGGAGATCTCCCTTAAAGATACCCTTGTGTAAGGATCTAAGGTTACACTATCTTGGATTTGCTTTCAAATCACCTAGCTTTCTGTGGGGGCGGGAAGGTGGGGAGGGCTGCGGAGGATGATGGGAGCAAAGACTGGGCCAAGGATGCTCACCCTCGAGGCAGGATGATGGGTCCACAGGGGTCTCGGGAGACCATGTTCTCTACTTTGTGGATGTGTCAGCATCCCCATAATAAAGAAGATTCTGAACAGACAACTGCCCTGACCAGTCCAGTCACACAGTCCACGTGTTTTTCTTCACAGAGCAGCAAGAACGGATAGTAAATCAGGTTCCGCAAGGAGCCGCACCTGTCCTTCAAGACTTGCCAGGAAGGATGGAGTCGGTGCACTGAACCACAAGCGCTGGGCTGGGATTCGCAGCTCACCTTTGCAGCTGAGAAATCCAAAGATAGCAGGGAGGGGAGCAGGAGCAGGAGCAGAAACCAGAGGGCGCCTGGTGGGTTAGGACCGCAGGGTGTGGGAGCAGGGACCGTGGGACTTGGGCAGGGGACTCGCTGCCCAGGTTTTCAAGATCATTTAAAAAATGTACCGCTTCTCTCCCCTCCCCTCTCCTGTCTCCTCGCTCCCTTTCAAATAAATAAATGCATACATAAATACAGCGCCACATTAAGAAAGCAGGTGCTCAGGCAGGTGAGACTGTGGGGCCTGCCTCACACCACCGGGACCAGCAGCAGAGGCAGACGGCTTCGTTTAAGTAAAAATGACCTTACCAGAGGGCTGCTGGGGCACCCACAAACTGCGGGCGCGGCGGAAGGAGCCACGCACTGTAAGCATCAGGAACTGCTGTCCCGGGATTTCTGGGCAGCTTCCTTCCATGATCCAACAGTACATTTCCACAAGGCATGCCATTGGCTGGCCCTGTGATCGACAGGCGCGCTGACCAAAAAAAGAGAGGGAGGTTGCTTGTCTGGCCAATCACTGGTGAGTGCGGGCCTGGCGTCAGCGGTCTCTGAGCAGAGTGCGAGCGAAGCTGTGCGCGGGCGTTTGTAGCCTGCGTAATAGCGCGGAGCACCGCCTAGGAGGAACTTGGGGGCGGTTTCCAGGGCGTCTGAAGTCGCTCCCAGACGCCGCTTCGCCACGGCCACACCTGCGTACAGTCAACAAGGTGTCCTACTCGTAGTCCAAGACACGTCCCAGAACCCAGGTAAAACCAAGCATCTGCCCTCCCTGAGCCGCTGTGGCCGTCCGGCTCCAAGCTCGGTAGCTCAGCAGGTGCAGCTGCGAAGCCGGCGCTGCCTCCTTGGGGTTCGTTTTTCGGGGTTTTTCCAACAGGGAGTCCCCAGCCTTGGTTCCCAAGAAGCAGCCGGTACACCGCCTTCCCGTAGCTGCCGCTGCTTTCTTCTTCCTCTTTTACTCCTCCTCATCTTCCTCTTTTTTTCCCTCCCTCCTTTCTCCCTCCTCCTTCCTCCTCCTCCTCCTCCTCTTCTTCATCTTCTTCCTTCCTCCAACCTCCTTCCTCCTCTTCCTCTTCTTCCCTCCTCTCTCCTCCTCCTCCCCTTCTCCTCCTCCTCTTTATTTGAATAACAGAGTTACAGAGAGTGAGAGGTTGGGAAAGAGAGAGAGAGAGGGAGATTGATTGATTTTCCATCTACCGGTTCATGATTGATTTTCCATCTTCCGGTTCATTCTCCAAATGGCCTCAATGGCCACGGCGAGACCAGGCTAGGAGCCTGGAGCTTCATCCAGGTCTCCTACGTGGGTACAGGGGCCCGAGCACTTGGGCCATCTTCTGCTGCTTTCCCAGGAGCAGTAGCAGGGAGCTGGATCTGAAGTGGAGCAGCCAGGACGAAACTGGCACCCAGATGGGATGCTGTTGAAGGCAGCGGCTTAACCCTGTGCACCACAGTGCTGGGGCCCTCTGGGTGGCTTCTTAAGACCACTCTCTCAACAGCTCGGGCACCCAGGGCCCCATGCCCCTCCATGCTCTCCTCCAGGGAAGAATCTAATACAACATTGCCATCTCTGTCTTCACTGGTGGTGGTACCCAGTCTCGAGTGGGCTCCTTTGATGTAAGCAGGCCACCAGCCTCTGTACTGCAGGGCTCCAGGTCAGCTCTTGGGGCTGGAACAGATGAGGGACAACCTGGGGCACTGGTCACCCACTGTTCCACTCACAGTCTCCTTTCCAGGGCCCTGCAGGAAGCCACAGGGGGCTGGGTCAGTGCTGGCCCTAGGGCCAAGACTAGAGCATACTGGTCACAGCTGACAAAGAGGTCACTGTCAGGCCTCCTGACTTCCTGGCAAGGGTCAGAACTGTTTCCCTGTTGGGCCACAGGGGAGCAGGAGTGTGTGTGTGGCTGCATTTCCTGATAGCTTCTTAGGACCAGAGAGAGAATGATTCATCACACCTGTTATATATCTTTAGAAGACATGGCCTCCTCTGATTTAAGTCACACACACACATACAGATAGATATAGATATATAGATATTCATTGTTTGAAAAGTAGGGAGAGAGAGAGAGAGAGATGGGGGAGATGAAGAGATTTTCCATTTGCTGCATCATTTCTCAAATGCCTCCCAATGGCTGCGGCTGGGTCAGGTTGAAGCCAAGAGCCTGGAATTCTGTTCTGGGTCTCCCACGTGTGAGGCAGAAACCCAAGCACTTGAGTCATCATCTGCTGCCTCCCTGGGTGCGCATTGGCAGGAAGCTGGAGCAGAAGCGGAGCTGGGACTCAAACCCAGGCCCTCCAATTTGGAATGAAGGCTTCCCTAGCAGTGCTTCACCTCTTTGCCTTCACTGCTGTGCCAAACACTCACCCTTAAATTGCTGGTTAAATTGCATTGTGGTCCCTATGATGCTAATTCTTTGAAATGTGTTGCCTTGTGGCCTAAAACAGGGTGAATTTTTGAAGCTACCCGACATGTGCTTGTGGAACTGTGTGATCTCTGGTTGGGTATAGGGCTCCCCCATGTGTCACCAGATGCCTATCAGTGGCTGGGAATGGCATGTTAAAAATTCCGACATTAATTTGACTATTCTAGCTTCATTTGCCCACCTGGTTCACTCCCCAAATGGCTGCAACGGCCAGATTTGTGCCGATCCGAAGCCAGAAGCTTCTTCTGAGTCTCCCACATGGGTGGAAGGGCCCAAGGACTTAGGCCATCTTCTGCTGCTTTCCCAGGCCATAGCAGAGAGCTGGATTGGAAGAGGAGCAGTCAGGACTAGAACCACTGCCTGTATGGGATGCCGGCACTGTGGGTAGTGGCTTTACCCCCATGCCACAGCGCCGGCCCCATACCTGCTTCTTGAAATACAAGAACTTTGACAGGGATTAGCTCAGATCCCTGTGTCTGTCTCACGGGTTTTGTTATCTAGTATTTTATCTTAACTTTAAAGTTTTTCATTTATTTATTTGAGAGGTAGAAAGACAGGGGAAGAGCTCCTATGCATTGGTTCACTCCCCAGATAGTCACAAGGGCTGCTGGAGCCAGGAGCCAGGAACTCAATCCAGGTCTCCCACATCGGTGGCAGGAACCCAACTACTTGCCATCACCTGCTGCCTCCCAGGGTGTGCATCAGCAGGAAGCTGGAGTCAGGAGCTGGGGCTGGGTACCCATTCCAGGCACTCTGACACAGGAAGCAGGCTTCTTAGCAAGTGTCTTAATTGCTAAGCTAAACACCTGTCCTGGTCCAATATTAGTCTCATCTGTTCTATCCTCCATAGCAGTCATTATTATTATTTCCTATGACAAATATTCATTTCGATTTATTGCATATTTATCAGTCTCATTGCCATCCAGTTATTTCTGGCTTCTCAGTTTTTCCTGTGGATTTAATTTCTTTCTTCCTAAAACATAGCATTTAAGAATTCCATCCATAAAAATTTGTTGGTAGTAAAACTCAGTTTGCTTGGGAATATTCTTTCTTTCTTTTTTTTTAAGGTTTATTTATTGATTTGAAAGGCAGAGAGATACACACAGAGAGAGACAGAGAGGCAGAGAGAGACAGAGGGAGATCTTCTGCCTGTTGGTTCACTCCCCAGATGTTGAGTTGGTCTGAAGCCAGGAGCCAGGAGCTTCTGGGTCTCCTATGTGGGTGCAGGGGCCCAAGAACTTGGGCCATTTTTCACTGCTTTCCCAGGCCATAGCAGAGAGCTGGATCGGAAATGGAACAACTGGGACTAGAACCAGCACCCACATGGGATGTCAGCACCACAGATAGTGGCTTTACCTGCTGTTTCATAGCACCGGTCCTGGGAATATTTTTATTTCATGCCCATTTTCTCCATGTTTTTGTGTTTTGTATAAATAATGTCACACTGTATCATTTTTCAGCCTGTTTTTTTTTCCCTCAACCTTGTTTTTTTTTTTTTTTTTTTTTTTAAGATTTATTTATTTATTTGAAAGTCAGAGTTACACAGAGAGAGGAGAGGCAGAGAGAGAGAAGAGAGGTCTTTACTCCCCAGTTGGCCGCAACGGCCAGAGCTGCGCTGATCTGAAGCCAGGAGCCAGGAGCTTCTTCCAGGTCTCCCTCATGGGTGCAGGGGCCCAAGGCCTTGAGCCATCTTCTGCTGCTTTCCCAGGACATAGCAGAGAGCTGGATTGGAAGTGGAACAGCCGGGTCTGGAACCAGTGCCCATATGGGATGCTGGTGCTTCAGGCCAGGGTGTTAACTCTCTGTGCCACAGCGCCGGCCCCATCAACCTTTTTTAAGTGATTTATTCCTGTGGTTACAGGTAGACCTATTTTATGAATTTTAACCCTCTGTAATAGTTCACTGTGTTGGTAAAGCACCATCTACTTATCCATGTTGTTGGAAGAAGACTTGCAATGAAAAATTTATTTTTATTGTAACTGCTTTTATTTTTATTATATTGATGTTGAGGAAAACTTCAAACAACAATAAAATAGGATAATGAATCCCATGTATCTGCAAATTTTTAGCAACTCATGGGCAATCTGGTTGTAGGTATATTTCCACCCACGGGATTATTTTGAAGCCAGTACCACATGCTATACCATTATACCTATTAATAATTCAGTCTATATCTCTAAAACATATGGATTTAAAAAATAACTATAACACCTAAAATTTAATGATGATTTGTTGTAATTTTCAAATATTTAAACTGTATTCAAGCTCTCAATATACTCATAAGTATATTTTTAAAAGATTTATTGGATTTATTTGAAAGAGTGACAGAGAGGGAGGGAGAGGGAGAAGGAGAAGAAGGGGGAGGGGGAGGAAGAGGGGGAGAGGAAGGAGAGATCTCATTTTCTGGTTCATTCTTCCAGTGGCCTCAATGGCTGGGATTGGGCCGGACCAAAGCCAGGAGCCAGGAATTCCATCTGGTTTCCCATGTGGATAGTGGAGACCCAGTCTCTTGGATCTTCCACTGCTTTCCCAGACACATTAGCAGGGAGCTGGATATTAAGAGAAGTAGCTGGGACTTGAACTAGCATTCATCTGGGATGCCAGTGTGGCAAGAGGTGGCTTACCCCACTGCTCCACAGTATCGGCCCTGTAATTGTGAAGTAATTTGAATTAATTCAAAAAAGCCCAACAAGCTGGGTTGATTTGTCTCTTAAGTATCTTTTAGGGTTCTCTTCCTCCCCTTGCTACCTCATCTTTCCTCTCTTCTTAAAAATTTTTCCATGCAATTTATTTGTTAAAAAGACTGAATTGTTGTACTGTGGAATTTAGCAGTGTGACGTAACTTAGAGTGTTCCTCTATCCCATGTCCTCCCTGTGTTTGTAGCTGTGTCTCTGGGTCACTCTCATTCCTGGATAATCTTGTTGGGCAGGGAGCTGTCCATCGGTGGTTCCCTTCTCTCAGCACTTTGAGGACATTTTTCTGTTGTTTTAAGAGTTCGGCCATTGCTATTGAGAGGTCTGAGATCAATTTCTTCTCACCTTGTAGGCCATTTCTCATTCCTCTCTGGTTGTGTTTGTCCTTGGTCTTGATGTTTCTCCATTTTTAAAAAAAGATTTATTTATTTATTTGAAAGAGTTACACAGAGAGAGGAGAGGCAGAGGCAGAGGCAGAGAGAGAGAGAGAGAGAGAGCGAGCGAGAGCGAGGTCTTCCATCTGCTGGTTCACTCCCCAATTGGCTGCAATGTCCAGAGCTGGGCCAATCCGAAGCCAGGAGCCAGGAGCTTCTTCTGGATCTCTCACGTGGGTGCAGGGGCCGAAGCACTTGGGC